TGCATGCCAGGGCCACTGAATTGTAGAGGAGAGTAAAGTGTAAGACTAGACAGGTAGGAAGGTCACAGGTTGTGAAAGACTTTAAAAGCCAAACAGAGGATTTTATATTTGATATAAATTTTAGGGTAGGAGCAACTAACAATTAGAGGAAGTATGGGAATTAGGAAACTTGAAAGGGTTGGCACTTATACTGAGATCTGAAGGGAGTTCTGAGTTCTAATATGATGCAGGTATGTAGGTAAAGCATTTCCAGCATGACAGCCAGCCTTCTGAAAGGCACAGAATCAGGTGATGGAAAGGCAAGTACAGGAAACAGCAAGTAGGCCAGCTTTATACTGTAACAGTGTGTGTGTGTGTGTGTGTGTGTGTGTGTGTGTGTGTTTGTGCACTCAAAAGAGAGTGTATTAAAATGTCATCAGTCTGGAAAGATAGCTGGATCCTGATTGTCAATTTTTAAATGAAGACATTGAATTTGGGAAATTTCCAGGTACTCTCCCTCTGTGCCTCTCCACATATCCTTCTAATGCCAGGAAAATTAAATAGGATTTTTTTTTAACAAAATTGACCCATAAAGCAAATCAGTGAGGAGTATTATATAGTGGTATTCTCTTTGCCAGCCTTTCAATGCACATAAAAAATAGTTCCCTGGACATTTCAGAAAGGATGCCTTTCTTCCTTGAAAAAGAAGCTCTCTAAAAAGCTAGCTACATAAGAACCACAAACTCCCCATGCTCATTAGTCTTCTTCTTAGCCCTTCATTTTCCCATATGAACATACTGATAGCATATGGGTTAAGTTTGTCCAAAAAAGTTTCTATTATTTTAACAATTCTACAACCCACTCTACTTTATTGGTGCAGTGAAAAGAATATTTGTGACTAAAAGTTATCTTTAACTCTTGAAAAAATAAATTACACCAAATAGATGTGAGGGAGAGAAGTGATGAACAGGGTCCACTATTTTTCTTCTCAGCTCTTCTCTGTCTTCTTAATGTAAACAGAAGATATGAGTCTTCTCATCAACTAAGTCAGAGCTTGGCCTCTTCCTCTTGGTGATTGTCTTCTCTGATGCAGAAACTCCCCTGCCCACCAGTCAGTTCTAAGACCTTCATAACTCTCAAACTGACAAGGCCACCTCCAAGCATGGACACATTAAAATCAAGGTCAATGTTAAGTCATCTATACTCAGGAAAAAAAAAAAGAAGAGGCAGTAAGGGCTCTTAGATTTAGTCCCTAACTTGCTTAGGGAGAACATATTAAAGCCATCATGTGCTCAATGTCTTATGGTGGTTGGTGTGGGGGAAAGGGTACACTATTCTCCATCCCTTATGGTAAGTTCCAGAATTTCATGATGTCGCTTAGAGAGCTGAAGGGAGAGAGTATCAGGGTGTAGAATAGCTATTTTTCAAAAAGTCCACTAAATCATCAATTCTTTTTACTAAGTGAACAATGATGCGCTGAATTTCTCTTTAAGGATTTGGTATCCAAGATATATAAACAATGTATATGTATATGTAATATATATATATATATATATGAGTGTGTGTGTGTGTATAGATGAATATAATGAAAAGTCATTCTCAATAGATAAATGGTCAAAATATATGAACAAACAGTTCTCAAAAGAGATACTACAAATTGTTAATACCCACTTGAAAGTATGCTCTAAATCACTCATAACAAGGAAAATGAAAATCAATACAACCCTGATGTTTAACCTTATACCCTGAAAATGGGCAAAGATGACAAAAGATCTAGTCAACACTGGATAGATTGCAGAAAGATAGGTATACTGATGCATTGACAGTGAAGCTGTGAATTAGTATTAACATTTTAGAAAGTAATTTGCAGTTATGTTAATAAAGTGACTAAAATGTACATACTCTTTTACCCAGAGATTTCATTACTGGGTTTACACTAAAAAAAAATTGTAAGAAGAGTCCCCATAAAAAATGAAATACTAATAGCAGCATTTTTTGTGCTAATAAAGAATTAGGGGAGAAAAAAGTGTCTATCAATTGGGGAATGGTAATCAAAATATGGTGCATGATGAAAATGAAATATTACTAATGAATGTGATCAGTAACGAGAAGCATCCACATGTTCAAGATCTACATGAACTGATCAAAAGTGAAATAAACAGAGTCAAGAAAAGCCTAATTACAATGACTACAGCAATGTAAATGGAAAGAACAACCACAATCACATACACAGAGTGAAGGTTGTGAAATTATAAAGAACAAGCGTGGCTCAAAAGAAGACATATAAAAAGAGATTCATACTTACCCATTTGTAGCAGCATTCAAGCATTATACACTGCACATATTTCAGACTTTCAAGCTATTGGTCAGTCATGTTGATTTTTCCTTTACTCTTTTTGTTTTTGTCTTTAAAAAATGCTATTTATTATAAGGGATGAGACGTCTCTCTGGGAGGGAGAAGGGAGGAGATAATGAGGAAAAAGATAATGGAGGAAAATGTATTAAAAATCAAAGTGTGTAGGATGTTGCAACATCAGATATCATGAGAGACAAATCCTGTATCCTCTGAAATTTTATGTGAGAAATAGACTTAAAGAAGGAAAATGTTCTGTCAAAAGTTAGAGCTAGCTCATTTATAAAATAAAGGAAATTCCTAAGTTACTTGTTAAGTAACATTTATTGCTTATGAAAAATGATTTGATTCTCAAGAACAAAATTCCACCTTACAGGTTTTTTTTTTAACAAACAAAGTGCCTCCTGTCCACATATCAAAATGATTCAAGATTCTCAGAAATATTTAACAATAGATATAATCCTATTTAATGACTCTCTGATATTAAACATCAAATGAGACATAAAAAAGGGAGATATATTCTCACCAAAAGTATTAACCACTGTAATGAAGAAAATTCAGTGTGACATCTAAGAGGGATTCCTTTTAGATGGTGTCAACTTCGAGATGCTCCTATCTGTAGATGGCATTGTGCTGATTTCACTAAGCCCTAGAACTTTTCAGAGCCCATGGAAGAGATCTGTAATCACTCAAAGGTGTTTGTCTTGTCCATCTACACAGGAAAGACCAAGTGGATAAAGAATATCTATTGTCCAGATTTCACTATGCATTTGGAGGGAAAGCTTATACAGTATGTGTATTTGGGACAGGCAAATATAGACAGACAATGAGTTGGGCACAGGGTTGAACTGGAAGAGAAAAATGGGCTGGATTATTTTTAGGAAATGGCAAAGCTCCTTTTCTGACCCCAATTTCCCGTGAAGGCAAAGGCCTATCATTTCAATACTAACATTCTACTGGCAGTGTTTTCTGGAGTTGAGACGTGGAATACAAGTGCCTCTGAAGAACTGAAAAATGAATATCATCTGGAGGGCAATACGGGGCGGGGTGGGGGGGGGGTGAATGTGAGCAAGCTGCATCATTTAGCCAACACTGAACTCAGAAGAACAGGAGTACAAGATATGATAGAGTACCATGCAATTGGTCCTTTAAGCCAAAGGTCACAATGTCACTTGGCAAGAAACAGGGATGACAGATGGGCAGCCAGAGTATACCCACTAACACCCTTCTAACAGAAAGAGAAAGTGAGGAAAGCTTCCAGCAAGTTAGGTGGACCTCATGTGGCCAGCTTTGAGCAGGATGGGAAGGCATGGAAGGATTGCAATCTGTATCTTTGGAGGAAACTACCAAATAAATGAGATCACAGATCCATTTTAGTATTTGAGCATAACACAATAATGCTGCCCGAATGAGATTTCCCCACCCTCCACTCCCATTAAAGGGTTTTGAGCTCCTTGGAAATAGGGAGCATATTAACTTGTAAAGTGGTTTTAATCAACTGTTCCTGCTCTATTGCTCTATAGTGCATTGCCTGAAAAGCCAGAAAAGTTGATTTCCCACAAGCATGCCAGACCTTCAGGTTGTAAAATTAAAATGGAAATTGCGCAGAGAATAGTACATAGCATTCTGGACTTGTTCGTACTTGAAGTCACGGTAACTTTCACTTTGGGGTACGGAGTGTGGGACTTAATCCTTGTTTATATTGAACTCTTCAAACTCACGTCTGGAGATCTTTTCCTCTATTAGGCCATCTCTTTTGAGTTAACTCACTGAAATATTCAGCATAGCAATCAGGTAAAAGAAGGCGATGCCCAAACGTGGTCTCCGGTGAAGATTCCTCTAGGTGGGGAGAACCAGAGAATGCAAGAAGGTACATAGACTCTCAAGCATCATGCCCCCCACCTTATCCCTTCCCCTCCCTCCCTCCCTCCCACAGACTTTCCTCCAGGGAAAAATAGGAGCGGGCTTTCCAACTTTGCTCCAATCAGAGCAGCAGCCCCTCCTCTGGGGTCCCCCTGCTGGATGATATGCAGCCGCCCTGGAGGCAGTTGGAGAAACTTTTCAGCCGCTCCCCTCCCTAACCCGAGGGGGCGAACATACCCTGACTCCAACTCCCCCCCACCCCCAACGTCTCCACACCCTCTTTCTCTCCCCGCCCCTAGGCATTCCCCAGTTCTTGCCCAGCCCCAGGAGCTAGTGATAGGCCGAGCGCTGGGCACTCATTGTGTATATGCAAATGAGAACCTCTCCCCGCCGGGCGCTGCCTGGACCCAGGCTGCTGTTGCCGCTTCTGCCACCGCCTGCTGCCTGTGCTCCTGCCTTTGCTGGGGAGTTTGGTGCTGTCATGCGGTGGCAGCTGATCCACCGGACTGCTATATAAGTATGAGAGAGGAAGACCCGGAAGGGGGCTGAAGATGAAGGTGTCCATGCATGGACCATTGCTGATTGCCAAACCAGTGAAAGCGGCAGTCCAGCGCGAAGCCGGAGGCTGTGAAGTGCGGGTCTTAAAAGCCGCAGTAGCAGCCACTAAGGAAGCAGCTGTGGCTGCGGCGACAGCAGCTGCGGCGGCGGCGCCAACTGCAACTGCAACAGTAGCACTAGCTCTGTGGCCGCTGCTGCCACAGTTGCCATGAGTTGTGCGGAGGTGATGTATCACCCTCAGCCATATGGAGCAACCCAGTATTTGTCCAACTCGGTGGCAGCAGCATCCTGCCCCACAGCTCATTACCATACCGGTCCCCAATCCAGCCAGCAGGTGAGTCGTTGTCCTGGGGTCACTGGGATGGGGAGTCTGGAACCTGCGATCTGTTCTGATATTGAGGATTGCTGACTGAGCACTCCCGGGACAGCTAGCCGGGAGATGAGGAGTTTGTGGAGGCTGTCCAGGATACTGAGGGCTTCACTGTGGCAACCCATCCAGAAAAGGAAGGCAACAGGTGGAGGGAGGAAGGGGTGAGAGGTGAGCCAGATTTTGAAAGCGTGAAAAAGCACCTGAAGTCTATTGTTGGGAATTATGTAGCTGGAATATGCTTTAAATTGTGCAGACCACTTCAAAAATAGCCCTTAGTTCTTATCGTGCAGTTCTTTGAAGCTCAGCAGGTGATGAGTCTTTTTTAGAATTTATAATAACAAGACACACAAATAAAACGATCTTCTTTTAAACCAAATACTTTGTTTTCTTTGGAAGGGAAGAGGGGTTCAGTCATCCAGGTATAATGATAAACTGTCAAATTCAGATGCCAGGAAGAATAACGATAGTAAGACAGTGAGGTAAAAGTAAAAATGGGCCCCTGAGCTGCATGTGGGTTCCAGGGCCTGGTCTCCACTTCCCTTGAATATGGTATATTAAGGCTGGGCAGAAGAGGTCCAGGGGAGTAGAGCAAGCTATGTGGGCAAGTTATTATAAGGAATGGCCACATATTGTAGACTGAGATGTCCATGTAGTCCCAGAGAAGGCTCACATGAGAATCCCTGGTCACAGGTATTGCTGGGCATAGATCAAAGATTAGAGAGGCATCAGGAAGAAAGAACTGTGAGATTAAGCAAGAGGGATGGAGCACATTTTGAGGGAATGCCCTGTGTATAAATGGCATTGGCTCCCCTCCTCCCATGCAGTCACTCAGTGTGTATGTTTCATAACCTAGGTAGCACATAAAAAAAGGATATGTCGCAAGAGGTTACACAAAGACAGCGATCATATCTTTAGCTTTTGGAGTCAGGGTGCTTATTTGGATGGCCTGGATAAGCATATTTTATGCAGAAAACTCTACCAAGATATGAGACAGGATTAAGGAATACCCACCCCCAGAACATTTATACTGAGGTGTTCAAGATTAAGTTGTGCCTCTACTTTTTATCAAATTGTGCCCTCCCCTTAAAACTGCTGTGGCGCTCTAGTACTAGTCCTTGGTAGATACCAGCACTAATCTTTGGAAAGGAAGACTAAAGCCTATTCAGGGATTAGGTAGGAATTGCTGAATTTCACTGATTGGCAGGGGAGGATTAGTGCTTGTATTTCATCTAATAGCCAGTGTGAAGCTGGAAAAAGCCTTGTTAGGGTTAAAGAGGAAGGATTTCCACTTATATATTCTATTGCTTCTTGCCATTATCTCTTAAGGCTAAATTACTTACCTGGGACAAGAGAAAAAAACTTGATTTCTTGATATTTTTATTTTGATGTTTTTCTTTTTCTTTCAAAACATGTAAGCACAGAGCAGGCTAAAAGAAGCATGGGAAAGGGATATTTACCATGAATTCTATGTTTCATGTCAAGACCCTGTACCAGGAGATAGAAGACAGATTTCTTTTCCCCCAACAGACTAGTCACTATAGTCGCAATGAGTTGTTTGTTAGTAAAAACATAGGACAACATCAGAAATGGATAAATACTTTGGGATTCTCACCCTCTCTCTCACACACACACACCCCCCCACACCCACACACACACACACACACACACACACACAGATACACACATATATATTAGTACAAGAAGTTGGCATCTTTTCCTTTTCTTAATCTTGTAAAACTATTAATAGCCTCCCCTTAGAAATTATAGGAAATTATCTTTGGCATGTCAAAAATGTATTTTTGTAATATTAACTAGCAATTAGCTATCAGTAAAACTAATAGTTTTATTTATAGGAGATAAAGTTGAGAACCAGGACTGTAAATCATAAAATTTAGAATGTGATCAGAAATGACCTGGAAACTGGATCTACATTACTGTATCTGTATGCCCAGAAAATCATGCCATAAATATTAGTTTGTGCCTAAACTAACCAAATGATGAAAACCACAATAAAAAACAAACAAAAATCAAGCTGAATTCCTGTACTTGGCCTAAATTAGCCCTGTTTGAAGGTTATTTATAATAGCAGGTCAATTAACCCTCCTCCTTTACTTTGTGGTTATGTAGACTTGGTAGTGCTTGGCTGATTGATTTGAGTTTGAGATTTTTTTGTGTATAACTGAACATTGAATTCTAATTTTGCCTCCCCAAATGTGGTAGGATGACCACATTTTCAACTACGTAACTATTTTTCACTGCCTAGTTGAAATGAAGAAATTGTTCCATTGCACTATCAGCTAGTAAGAGTTTTGTACTTTAGTTTGATGACCTATATTTTTTAATGCAAAAAAAAAAGCAAATCAGGAAATTCTTATCAGACTGACAGCATTTTTAGACTATGTGGTGCGTGGGTGAAGTGGGGCTAATATTGACTTGGCCCTAATGTAGTCATCTGAGAATACATTTTTTTGTTGTTGTTGCATTCCATAAGGTTTTATCATTATTATCCATGAAGATTGCTTTCTCCGTACATGGGAAGTGACCCCTAATAGCATCTTGACTGGGAGACAAAAAAAAAGAGAGCTACAACTCTCAAATTCCTGCAACATTTCAAAAATTTATTTATGGAAAAGCAAGAGAAGAAGGGAAGGAGAAAAAGTGACATAGTCCAAGAGGCAGAGGGACCATCCATTAATATTATCTCATCTGATGAAATGATAGAAAAGAGAAGCAAAATTTGGTATGAATGGTTGCCTTTTTTTTTTTACAGGTATCAATATGTTCCCCAAAATTGATTTTTCCCACAAATCTCTACTGAGCTGGTGTCTTTAGACCAATTAGATTAACACCAATAAAATTAATACTGACCAATATTCTGCATTTTCTGTTTATATATTTTCCTTTCCTTTGAGTGGGAATTCAGATAACTTTTTAAAATGATTTGAAAATAGCAAGCTGCCTTGCCCCTTTTCCTTTTCCCAAAGAGGAAATGGATAAATTTAAAAATGAAACTTTCATTTTCCTTATTATGACAATATATTACATTACAGACTGTGGATGAGTGGATACATAGATAGAGACATTTAGATGTCTTCAGACACATTGTACAATAGTCATAAAACTGGAAGGGATCTTAGAGATTATCTCTAGTGCAACTTCCACATTTTTTTATAGATGAAAAAACTGAGACTGAGACACAAGTTGCCATTCGCATTGGTAGTGATGTAACAGAATGGTGATTCAAAACCAAGTCTATTGACTTCAAATCTAGAGGTCTTCCATTGAATTGTGCTCTTATTATAGCAGGAAATTCATTAACAAGTTGTTAGTGCTTTTGCAATAGTTCTTGTCCATTGTGGGCTTCTTTAAAGGACATAGCTAAAGGTCTCCTTTCTCCTAAAGGACTCAAGTTGGTTTGTTTAGTCATAGAAACATCACTCTAAGCTATATATGTCATGGAGGTGTCTCCAATGTACCAAGGAGCCTATTCATATTAGATCTGTTGTGCTTCTCAGGCATACCCGAGACTACCTGAAATAATCCACTGGTTCTGTAAATGTGAGCAAATTATAAAAGCAACACTTTTCATGCCAGTCCTTAGAATGTCTCTAGAAGTACGTGGAAATTTTTCTCTGTCCTGCAGGAAGGTCTGGGACTTTCCCAACAGATTTCATGCCACCTCTGTTTAAACCCCTTCTCATTGCTTTTAATTCCCACTCTTATACCCATCTACTTTAGGACTGACTGTCCCCTCTACCTTTATCTCACCACTACCTACTCTCCCCAAAACAAAAAGAAATGGAAAGAAAAGATAAGACATTTCCATACATTATGGCCTATTATACTGCAATAACTTCAAGAATCAGCATAAAATTTTGAAATAAGTATAGAGGAAAACTAAGGGACATAAGTCATGGATTAAGGAGCTCCATTCTCATTTAAGGAGCCTCCCATCTAAATATAAGCTGGATCATTTTCAAAATTCCTCTTTATTAGAAATGATAGGTTTACACAGGAAGTTTTCTAAAGTTGAGCTGCTGTGTTTTGTAACTTCCAGAATAAGTTTAGAATACGGTCATACTGTGAGCTTGGCAAAAGTCTGTAGCTATTGATTCTGACTGCTCTTTAAGGGAGATAGCTGAGTTAATGTATCTTCAAACATTAATTTAAAATAACTGACTCTTTTGATAGAAGTTCACTTATAAATCTGAAAGAATTGTTCAAACTTAAACTTCCCTCTGATGTTGCACAAGAGTTGTATACACATGCAGATGTGGGGCACCCCAAACTGATCTCTTAGTAATGAAAATTCATATGCAGTAGACATTTTGACCTTGAAGTTTATGATTCTTCAGCAGTTCTCAGTAGTGTACTTTTTTTTAAAACTTTTGCAAGGAACAACATTGCTCTGATTTTTTTCTATCAGTATTTCATCTTGTTTTTGTTTTGTTTTGTTCTGTTTTATTTTGTTGTTATTGTTGGTTTTTTTTTTACAAAGCACTGAATCCAGTTAGCAAAGAAACAGTCATTTATATTTTCTTAATCATTTAGGAAGCATTATTAACAAAAACTATTAGGTTCCAACATATCACTGAGTCAAGCCTACATTTTACCTCAGTGGGGTAAAAGAATAGAATTATACACTAAGTAGATTGAGCATACAGTTAGCTTATTTAAACAAGAGGATCTAATTTTCTTGCAACTGTAAGCAAGGACTTAAGTAGATTTGTAGGAATTCATGCAGGCCCACTTTGAGAAAGAGCAGTCCCTATAATTCTCTTCTGCACAAGTTAACTTGACAGAGACACTTAGGAGCTTAAAGTGTTTCTTAGTTCCACACACCTAATAACTTTCCAGCCAGAAAATCCAAACCTGGATGAAAATTAAACCCTAATATAACTAAATGAAATTGTTGTCTCTGGCAGCAAACCAGAGCGATCTATACCACAAAGAGATGGGGAAATGATCATAATCTATAAAATCATACACATGCTATGGAAAAGGTGAAATGTGTTCAACAGATTCTGAAAACTTTCTAACAAGGGTGCACCTTTTGAAACTTGAATGAGATGAGTTTAGGATAAGTACCATGAAATACTTTCTCGAAAAACATGTTATCTACATCTGGAACTCAATAAATACATTTGCATAGACCTAGAAGATTGAAAAGAGCCTTTAATTTCCTTGCAATGGGTAGATAGGGCAAATATTCCTATTTTACAAATGAGGAGTCTGAGATTTAGAAAGACTTGTGCAGGGTTATTTATATATCTGGTAGATTAAGTACATAGCTGGAATGCGAACCCTTGTCTCTTGCCTTCAGGTTCAGCACTCTTGTGACTACACCGCTACTTACATCACTGCAAGAGATGGTACAAAAAAGAAATACAATTCAGTTTCAGAGTGGTTTAAAAAACTTCATGGGTCATGCAACCTATAAAAGGCTACTAAGGAAAAACCGTAACACAACTAACCTGTACAAGTTAATGCCAGGAAAGATAATTGTTCTCTTTACTAATTTTTAACTAATTCTTTTTGTTAGCTGATTATAGCTCAAGGTGTTACTGTGCCAGTAGTTTTTGCTTATTCTTAGGAGACATTTAAAGATGGACAGTCTCCAATATTGAAAGGAATAAAGCTGTAATAAAAGCATCCCAGGCACGTGAGGGAAATGGGAGAGATATTGAGGGCGGTGGTTCCTGCCTCAAAATATACCACACAAACTATTTTCTACTTAACCTGCTCATAATTAGCTTTCTTCATTCTAATGTGCTATCTAACACAGTATACTTACTTAAAAAACAATTTGAGATAATAAATAATTGAATTTTAGAACTAGATGGGAATTTAGAGATGATTTTACCCAATCATCTTATTTGACAGATGAGAAATCTGAGGATCAGAAAGTCAAGTGACTTTTCAAGGTAGCATAGCTGGTTAGGGGCAGAGGTGACTAGAACCCAGGTTTCCTTACTCTCACTCTCTAGTTCTATTTCCCCATGATGGATATACACAAATTCTTGATAAGCGTAACAAATGCTTGATTACTGTAACATTTGTTGAATTGTTCCTATGTCTAAAAAGGGAAAAAACAAAAATGTATAACTAAGATTGAGCAGATAACCCCTTAAAATATAATGTATCATATTGTTTCTGCCAAAAGTCTATAATTTAGGATCATAGAATTTTAGAACTAGAATTTACTTCTGATTTTTCATCTGCAAATTGAAGAGACTGGGCTCTACAACCAGTAAAGGCCTTCCCAACATTCTATGATCCTCAGATCTAGTCTAACTTATCATTTAATAAAGTAAATTGAGGCACAGAGAGAGTAAGATTTGTCTAAGGCCACATAGCTTTGGGACTATTTAGCCTCTCCTATGAATTCAATGTGGAAATAAACATCCTGATAAACTCCTAAGGATTGTTTGCTATCAGTTTTTCACAGAATCAGAAAAAGGCCCCTCCTCTTCTTCTGGGACCCTTAGAAACAAGAAAACGTAACTATCATAACAGACTACTTCATTTTCCTTTTCATTCTTTCATCATCATCATCATCATCATCATCATCAACAACAACAACAACAACATTTATATAATGCTTAAAGATTTGCCAAGCACTATATAACTAGTAACTCATCTGATCTTCATGACAACCCTGGAAGGTAGGTTCTGTTATTATCCCCATTTTACAAATGAGGAAAACAAGACAAATAGCAGTTAGGTGACTTGCTAAACCAGTTTCTGAAGCAGGATTCACACTCAGATCTTCCTTACTCTGAGTCTAGTTCTCCATCCACTGTACCACCTAGTTGCTATGAATATTGGCTATATGAAGAAAATAGCAAAGTTGATCAAATACCATAACAACTTTTATATATCTTACTACATAAAGACATTTATATTATTTCATTGCTTTAATACAATATAATAAATTTTATAATTAATGTGTCTAATTTTTAAATAAGAATAGCATAACTTATATTTCCAAATGAAAAATACTTTTCCTTTCAAACCATTCCTGAGGGTAGGGGGACAAATAAATAAATGTTAAAGCTAATGTTTGGAATATTTCTTTAAGAATTACTTTGAAAGCCTGAGTTTTGAAATATTTTTTTAAATATTCACAATGATGGCAAATCATTGTCCTTTGGGAGTGAATCGGGTATTTAGAAGCAGACAGAAGTCATTCTGAGACAAGCAGGGTGAATGATTTGGACAATCAGGGTAGTTTGTACCTTTTTTTTTAATTTTAAGAAACTCAATGTATATAAATATGAAGGGATGCAACTCAGTTGTGTGACCTAGAAAGTGGTTCTGAAGACAATTCCAAAAGCATAATTTTGTTTATTTGTAACTTTGCTGGAATAAATCTATCATTTCCATGAATGACTACTATCAAATGACAAAAGTTATTTGGGGCTATATGTTTTTTATGAATTTGATGGAGAAACCAATCTTAGTATTTTATAGTCATACCTCTCTATTTATACTCTTACACTTCCTAAAAAAAAAACAACTCCAATTTTTAAAATTGAGGGGCAGCTAGGTGGCACAGTACATAGAACACTGGCCCTGAAGTCAGGAGGACCTGAGTTCAAATTCGGTCTCAGACCAAACACTTGACACTTACTAGCTGTGTGACCCTGGGCAAGTCACTTAACCCCAATTGCCTAAAAATAATTTAAAATTTTTTTAAAAAACTTAAAATTGGATAATGAAATGGTCATGATGACTTAGGTGATATACTTTGGCTAAATACAGACCTTGACCCAGAATTAAATACTTTGTGTGGTCTCAATGAGAATTCAACTTTTCAAAAATATATTTTCCCCCATGATTAAGCAAAAGTAGTATGACATAGTACTTTTGAGTTTTTTCATTTTTGGCAAACCTGATAAGCAGGTAAATGAACAATAATGTGACATAGCAATAGAATTCTGGCAATAGTTTAAGAAATACATCTTCTCAAAGTCTTCTCCCTGGGAGAAGTCTTGCCATAGTCCAATCTTGTTTCTTAAAATAAAAGCATCACTACATTGAGAAATGAAGAATATTCAGTAAGGATGACAGTTAACCTGGGCAACAATATCAAATGATTCATTTAAAGACATTTTTAACCTCAGGAAAAAATTTCAACATGTGTATAATAATCACTTGGTATTTGTCACCCTGGTCTTTGGGGAAGCAAAGGTTTTTGGCTTCTGACTGAGAAGACATTCTCTTGTTCACAGAAATGTTCTAAGCTTTGCTTGCAGTTTTCTGGAATGGGAATATTTAGTACAAACAGACCACATTCTGGTTCTGATGATTGTGTAATTGCACAACCTGGGAAAAAGGGGGGGGGGCATGTGAAACAGCTTTGTGGCCATTAGCTGGTAATTCTTTTCACATAACTAAGCCCTTTTACTGGAGGATAATTAGACGCTATTTCAAAAACTTATAGGAACAGACTACTTGATTTAGAAATGAACTTTAAAAACGGTTTGAGTTTTTTTGCTTGTTGTCCTCTTTAATTCTGCTTATTTCCTCTTTATTTCTGTGTTCACAATTGCATTTCTAATAGCAAAGCTGACAGACACCTCTGAGAATGGGGTCCTTTTAAAATTGGTTATAGGTATAATCTTGATAAAATTGCTAATTTGGCAAAATATTGTATGAATATGACAATTTAAGCTTTGACCTCAAAATTTAAGCTTTGCTTGTTGGCATTTTTTTTTAAGAAAAATGAGGTTTGTGATAATACGTGCTTAAAGGTAACTTGAGCACAGATAGAATGTGGTAAAATGGAAAATGTACTGGATTTGGAATAAAAGGACTTGTTTTGGAATGCTATCTCTTTCACATATTACCTTTGTGACCCTGAACACCTCTCTGAGACTCATTTTCAACTGAAAAATGAAGGGTTGTACTAAAAGAACTTTACGGTCCCATCTAGCTCTAAATCTATGACCCTATAATCTCTAGGGAAAGAGTGCCTAGGGAATTTTTGAAATGTTGAAAAGTAAACAGAAACTATATGTACATTACCAAAATTAAGCAAGAAATTGAACTGCAGTCATAAAGTACTGAACTCAATGACTTGGGAAGAAAGTATAAGAAATATGAGTGATTTAGAGTATGAGTCAAACAATGCAGTTTCAATAAGGAGCATTTAAGAGGTATAATCAAAATCAAGGCCTAGCGTTTAATTTTGTTTTTGATTTTGACACTTTAAGGCAAAATTCTGAAGTCCAAGATATTAGGTGGAGGTACTAAGTCAAATAAGTAAATGATAGCATATACTTTATAGCTGTTTAAGTTGTTCTTTTCTTTATGTGATTTAATTTGTTGTAATGGGCCTACATTTATCTCATCAGATATCACTCTATCAGTTCAGCTAAAATGTTTTTGCTAGTGTTCTGGGACTGTGACTTCTACTCCTTCTCCTTTATTTCCTTTGGAATTTTGACAAGCTTTAGATGTTCCTCTGTCTTGGAGGCAGGGGTGTGCTAGGGCCAAATCAGGGGTACCAATTCATAAATTTTCTGTGTGAGCCTTTACACTTATGAAATGGCAAACTGCAAATTAGGTCTTGGGCTTTTTAAAAATTGTTTTGTTAATTGTCTAGATTTAGGAAAGTAATAGAAAAAATGTTAGTAATATAGATTAAACTTAAAAGTGTATCCTGAGTGTATTTCTCCTCTGCCAACCCCACCCCCCAGCAAAAGCTGGTTGTTAAATATTTATGAGTACACCTCTTGTTAGAAAAGTCAGTAAAAAGTTATTTAAGATGTTGAATCCATGCCATAGAAAGCAAAGAGGCAAAGATCTTGACTAGCAAAGAAGGAAAAAAGAACTGGTTTTACATTTAAAAAACAAAAATCTCTTAAATATTGAAGTTATATGTCTTATTATAAATAGAATAAAGGTGTGACACCACAAAGTGGCATATTACATCTAAAAATGCAACAGATCATTGCTTAATTTGTCAGGAAAATTATCTATAAAGATTGTAAAGAACAAAAATGCATTTGGATTCAGACATAGGTTCTTTTTTATTGCATATATTGAAAATCTTATACCATTTAGGCAGATTTATTTTTCTTTTCTCTAGTCATAACTGACTAACTTAAAAAAAATACCTATCACAAAATCCTTGAATTAGTGTATATTTAAAGCCTCTATCTTTTTTTGAGGTAGCTTCCATTTAAATTGAAAAAGATTGGCATATACTAGAAAAATGTATTTTTAGTCATTAATATTGCCTATACAATTTTTATAAAGGATGTTGATATGGTTTAATGTGCTAAAAAATTTTTTTAAAAAAGAAAAATTAAAAAGAATATATAATGATAAATGGTCATTTTCTCAAATTGATACTAGGGGAGAAGTAAAATGAAGAAAAGAATCAATTTCATATACTAGAAAGAATATTCCTATGAAGAGAACTGATCTAGAGATCAGTTTAAATTTCCTGTATTCCTCTCTCTCTCTCTCTCTCTCTCTCTAGAATGCTTCATACACTTTGTGTGCATATTTGAATGATCAAATACCTATGGTATTGATGTCAGCAATAAGAAACCCCTTTCAAAGGGAAAAGAGGAATTAAAATGTATTTGTTGTAGTATGCTTGACAACGCATTATAGTAATAATGTTATGTTATATTATTATTTAGAATTCTAGAATTTTAAAGCTCAGAAGGACCTTAGAAGTAATGTAGTTTAAATCTTTCATTTTACACATGAGGAAATTGATACCCAGAGAATGTGGTAGAGTTGAAAAGTAACCCTGGATTTGGGGTTGGGGTGAGGAGGGAAAGGACCTGGACATGAATGAAAGGACTTGCTAATATCTCTGTCCCCTAGAGTAAGTCACTTCCTCTAGGTCTCACTTTTCTCTTCTGTAAAATGAGGTGGGTGGAGTTGGTCTGAACAGCTAATAGGTTTTCCTATTGTTCCGGGGTAATTTCTGCTCTAGACTAGAAAACTCGCCTGTTCCCTTCCAGCTTTAAATCAATGATACACTTCTTTGAAGTGACTTTTCCAAGGTCACACAGATAGTAAGGAGCAGTCAGGAATGGATGTAGGTCCTCTGACTATAAAACAGTCCTCTTTCTGTAGATTTATAATGATTCAAATGAAACATGAGTAAAGGCTGCACATTTTCCATCTATTGCAACAGCGCATAGACTAGCCACAAGGATTAAATGAAAATGTTAAGTCTTTGAGATAGATATATATCCCGTACTGCTGCAAAGTTTGAATGAAAAGCAGTATCTATTTACAAATCATAACCCTTAGAAATCATTAGCAGCTCATATGTAAACACTTCAGGAATTATATTCAACAAGAATAATATGCCCATCTATAGATAGGGTAGGAGGATACTAATAATTGAATGAAGAAAATTTAATTCAAAGATTATAGGTTCTGCTATTCATAACTACTAGAATCTTAGACTTCCAGTTTACATATTTCAGCAATATCCACATGCATATGTATATGTATATATATCTGCATGTATATATATTTACATGTGATATATACATATGTATATTACTGGGTACAATATACTAATTTTTTTCTTTCTTTAAATCAATTGTTTTGAAATAAAGAAAACAGAATCAATTCAACTAATAATGAATCATTTAGAAATCATAATTTTTCATTAGCATATAAGTTTCATGAGATTTTAAATGATCCAAACTTTCCTGCCTTTTTTTGGCAAAGGAATTACCACTCCACCCCCACCCCACTGGTCAGTGAGCATTATTTTCATTTGCCCTTAGTGGTAGCTTTTTTATTTATGATAACAGTGGTAACTGGAACATCTGAAAAATATGTTCCTTATAAAATGGATTTTCACACATACTCATTCCGACATTTTAATTTGATTTTAAAGAAAGGAGTCCAGGACATCTGCCAAATCCTTTTATAAGATGTTAGATTCCTTGAATTTTAACAAAACATTCCTTCTCTTCTCCCTTCCACACCAACACTCTTGTGTTCTGCAACTCATATTTAGAATGTTGCTCTGTACCATCTTTAAAACATACAGAAAAAAGAAAAATGGTAAGGCAGGCTGACTTTGATATAACAAAAGGAAAAATATGTTGTCTTATTTCTTGTTATATTGTGACATATTTATATTTATGTGTGTGTATATGTGTATATATATGCATACATATTATATATAAACTTAATCCTAATAAATTATGGCATTTAAAAGTGAATTGATTGTCCTTTGTCGAGTTTGACATAACAAGAATCAAAGTTTTAAAAATGTTAGTGGGGAAGATGAGCAAGACGTAGGGGAAGAGAAGAATATTCCAAGCTGTGAAGCTACTTTTATTTTTTTTTAGAGTAATCTCATTAATGCTCTTTTATAAACTGCCTTTGATACTGTGTTTTGTTTATTCCATACCAGAAGAAGTTAGCGGTATACAGCAAGATGCAGGAGTCTCTGGAAATGACCCTTCCCAGCAAACAAGAGGAGGATGAGGAGGAGGAGGAGGAGGATGAGGAGGAGGAGGAGGAGAAAGACCAGCCTGCCGAGATGGAGTACCTTAACTCTCGATGTGTCCTTTTCACTTATTTCCAGGGAGACATTGGTTCAGTAGTGGATGAACACTTCTCAAGAGCTTTGGGCCAAGCCAGCAGCTTCCATACAGAATCTGCCATTTCAAAAAACAAGATGGGGCTAACCCCTCTATGGAGAGGTAAGAATTAAAAAATCATATGCTCTCCAGCTCACTGTATTTGTTTCGCAATGGCTCTGACCAGGATCCAGCTGGAAACGTGCCTCTGGAGGACAAATATCCACTTGCTTTTTAATTTTTAAGGACAGCAAGGAATTTCTTTCAGACAAACAGCTGGATCAGCTTTGTCACATGTGGAATGCAGGATTGGAAAGGATGCAGTCACACCCCTTAAATTCTTTATGGAAAGTAATGATGCAACGGGTATGAGTTTATAGTGGCAGGATAAAGCTGCAAAGCACTATTCCTGAAGCCCCGATGGCTTAATTTGGATCTCTTAATAATAGGCGTGCCTAAAGCAGCTTTTAAGAAATTAGCTATTGCTCATTCCACTAGGTGTTACTGTGGTGACATAACTGAGATCTGAGTCAGGACTTCCCAGGCCAGACATTAAAAAATGTTTTGTTAAAAAACGTTTTGTCTTCTTGAAGTTGCTTTTTGTCTCTAGTCTCTGCCTCATCTGCTTGTGAATTGGGGGTCCTGGCATTCATTTTGAATTTGATTTTAGGTCCCATCACAGAGATTTCTTGGGTACTAACTTGGCAAAAATTTTTACATGGTAAGAAATCCTACTCATGATGTGAGCAAAGTGTTAAAACATTGAGGAGAAGACAAGTTATCACATTGAACCCTTTTACAGCAGCTCAAAGATATGTCTGGAATGTTCATTTCCCTCTTTATAAAAATTGAGTATAGGATACTAGAACAAACTATTGCTTGTTGATTTCTTAATGCAGAAAAAGAAGAGAGAAAATCTAGTTAGAATAGTAGAAGATGATATAAGACAAAGAATGTGAAATACTTTGTGTTTGTATGTTAGTTATGTAAGTATGGAATTTCTACTGAAATTCAGAAATGCAGACCCTATTCTGGGGACAGGAAGCATATTAATATAGATTTTAAACATTTAATATTGAGGGTGGAATGGATAATTTCCTTTCAACTACTAGAATAAGGAAATCTGTGGCTCCTTTAACCTCAGTGGCCCTCCCTATATCTCTTGCAGATAATCACTTGACTCTTACTATCTCCCTTGGTACTTAGGATAATGGCATGTACATAGCAGGCACTTAATAACTATTTCTTGAATGAATGGATGAGCTAAACCAAATCTATAACCTTAGTACCATTTAGAATAGGATCAGGATTCAAAATGACCTTGGTAAACTAGAGATATCAGCAACCATCAAGGGCAGGTAAGAAGTGGAAGAAGGGAAAGGAAATATAAAAAGAAAACAAGGCAAGGGAAGACACTGCAAAAATTTAAGAATATATCTGACTCATCAAATTATAGAATGCTAGGAATCAGAATTAATCTAAGGTAGCTCTCTTAGAAGGTTGAAGTGGCTTGCCCAAGATTAAGCAGCTAATTAATATAATAGCTGGGACTAGATACCAGTTCTTCTGACACCTACTGTTTTAAAACAAAATTATTTTTTATTGTGAAATTAAGAAACATTATCAAACATGGATATTTTAATACATGAATAAGAACAGAACAGCAGAATGTATATGCAATTATTAACTTCTGCTACAGAGGCTTTCTTAAAACTGTATATTCACTTTAAAATGGCAATGACATAACCACCCTGCTTGTCTGTGTACCCTTCTGAACTTCCTTTTGCTTTCTTCTGTGTATTTTAAAAAATTTCATTGATGTACTTTTTTTCTTTCCTTTTTTTTAAATCACTATCACTACCCATCAACTCTTCCTCTCCTCAAAAAGCAGCTGTCTCTTGTAACAATTATGTATAGTCCTGCAAAACAAAATTCAACATGGTCAAGTCTGAAAAAATGTATAGTTTCATTGTGTATCTCTAGTACATCAAATGTCTGACAAGAGGGATTTGTGTTTTGTTTTTTGTGTTTTTCATTTTTTTTCATGATAAGATGCTACATGGGGGAAGGGGCACCAAAAGATTATGGGGTGAGATGCAGTCAATAACAAACTGAACATGAGTCAGCCTACAGTGTTCTTAAAATAGCAAGCACCCTACAGGGGTGTGTGAATAGGAGTATAACATGGATAAAAACCACAAATCACTCCTTTCATTCTTTTTTAACAGTAGTCTGATTCTGTTCAAAACACTGTATTCAGGCATACATTTTCCAACTTAAGAGAATTATAGAGAATTTGGATAGGATTTTCAGAAGAGCCCAAAGATAAGTAAAGCACTGCAAAACAAGACCTTGGAGCACAGAGTTGATTTTGTGGGATGAACTGGTTAATGGTCAATTTAATATCATTCATCAATCCCATTGACATTTTCCTATGCCCTGCAGTTAGTAGAATCTAATAATACACCTCTTCATGGGCTCACTCTTTTAGCACTTTAGCTGTTAGACCTTGTGTTATTGTACACACAGGCACACACACACACACACACACACACACACACACACAAGGCATTGGCGAATAAGACAAGGCAAGCTGATAATCACTGCTGTTGCAAGGAACCTCTCTGCAAATTAGGGAAACTTCTCCCCTCTTCTCTTGATTGGTTCGGGGCTTCCCAGAAACTTATTCTTCACCTAGAGTTTGCCTTTCCTTTCAAACTCAGGTTGTACTGCTTTTCAAGGGAAGGAAAATGACTGCCCATTTCAGTTGTTCCTTCTGACTTGGTACGAAAAAAGCTCACATTTACATTTACTTTGGCTTCCTTCCTTCCTTCCTTCCTTCCTTCCTTCCTTCCTTCCTTCCTTTCTTCCTTCCTCTCTTCCTCCCTCCTTCTCTCTCTATCTCTGTCTGTCTCTGTCTCTCTTTCTTTTTCCCTCTCTCTCTCTCCACCTCTCCCCTCATTAAAACAACCTAATAAACTCTTATTTCCATTGAGTTTGTAATTCTGAACACCCAGTCAAACTCTAAATTGAATTTACAGAACCTGAGCAATTTAGTCACCATTCTTTCTGGATTGTATGAGTAATCAAATAGTGTTAAAATCACTGATCAGTGCATTTTAAAAATTGAAAGTAACAAGTATGATATGTCCAAGTTTCTCCACATCTGGTTGCTTTCACTGGTAGTCAATAAAGAGATAAGTGACTTTCTATCAGAGGGAGAAAAGATTATTGGCTCCTGGAAGAATGATTTTTCCCAAGGGAAAGAAAGAAAGGAAAACAGACAGGCACCATTGATACTGAGTGCGTCTCTCTCCTCATCTCAGAATTTTCACACCACAACATCATGTGCTGTATTGAAACAGTATTCTTAAAAATGACCAGTAATATAAATGGCAGATCATAAGTTTTAGAGATGGTAAGATAAGGTCCATTTTAGCCAACATCTTCATTTTAAAAATGAGGAAACTAGGGCCCAGAGATATTAAATGGTTTACTTAAGGACAGAGGTAACCGAGAACCAGGATTCAAATCTAGATCCAGTGACTCCAAGCTGCCTTTTGGACATCTTGCTCTTGTACCTCTAATCAGTACAATTAAATCTTAATCATCATCTCAGGTGATACGGTGAAGAGAGCACTGGGCCTGGAGTCAAGAACTTTGAATCTGGCCTTAAACATCAGTTTTATGACCCTGAGCAAGTCTCTTAACCTCCATTTGCCTTAATTTCCCTAACTGTAAACTGGTGATGATAATAACACTTAACTTCATACGGTTTTTATGAGGATCAAATGAGATAATATTTGTGAAATGTTTAGCATAGATCAGATACTATATAAATGCCCTCCTCTAACCTGCTCAAACTAGCTTCTCCACCTGACTTTCCTATTCTTATCTCTAATATTTTGCTGATTTCCCAAAATTAAGCCCTGATGATAATTTTTAACTACTTTATTTTCCAAAATGACTACATGTATGGTCCAGTGGGTAGTCCTCTCAATTTTGAGTCCAGAGTGTCTTTGGGCCTTTCACCCCCGATACCAAAGTCCTACATATATTGCTTTTTTTATCCGTATAGTGCAATAGCAAGTTAATTCTAATCTTCCATATTCACTCTCTCCCACTATACACCATTGCCAGGTTGATCTTTCTAAAGCATAGTTATGGTTATGTCACTTCCTTGCTCAAAAAACCTCCAGAAATTTCCTATTGGCTACTGAAATTCCAGACTCCTAAATAGGACCTCAACTGCCTTATTAAAATAATAACCACAAAACACCTTGTTAACAAGCATCTGAGTGTTAAAAAGAAAAAAAATAAAAACAAAAACAAAACTTAGTGTTCACTTTTGCTTTTATACCATCATCCTCACCAAATACATTCCTTTCCTTCCCCTACTTTTGCCTGGAGAGCAGGGAAAGGTTTTTGCCTTTTTTTTTTAACATCCCCAGTGCTTAGCACAGTGCCTGATATTTAGTAGGCACTTAAATAAGCATTTATCAATTGTTAACAAAGAATTGAAAAAAAGGTTAAAAAAATACAGTTTAGCAAAGTATGTGAATATAACATAGTCCCTAACCTGGGTAAAGAAAGATAGGAGGTGTATTTTCTCTTCTCAGGAAACTTGATCTTATGATTATGAAGTGATCAGTTATTGCTCTTTGGGTTGTTCTTTCCATTTAGATTGTCATCATTATATATATATATATATATATATTAATTTATTGGTTCCAATTATTTCACTTTGCATCTGTTTGAGTCTTTTCATGCTTTTCTGAAGTTCTCATATTCACAGTTTTTTACACTACAGTAATATCCCATGAATTACACTTTATTTAGCCTATTCTTTAAGTCTTATCTCTCACCTCTTTCTGCTGAATTCTAGCAAATGTAAAACTGCTCACCGTGGCTCAATATTTCCTGCAATTTTGCTCACCATTTTCTCTATGTGAAATAACCTTTGCTTGTTCTAGCTCTGCCTCGTGAAATCCTATCTATCCCTTTAGTCTCATCTAGGCAACAAGGTGGTAGAACAGATAAGAATGTTGGGCTTGGAGTCAGGAAGACCTCAGATGAAATCCTGCATTTTACGGGCTGTGTGACCTTGGACAAGTCACTTAACC